ATAGCTGACCAGACGTGTGTGTGTGTGTGTGTGTGTGTGTGTGTGTGTGTGCAGGTTCATATCCCGGCTCGAGGAGCTGCTGAATGACTGGAAGCTGATCGGGTCTCGTGTCGGGAAACCGCTGGAGAAGGTCAGCCGATGACTGATGATCACATTCACACACACACACACACACATGCTGCATATGCAAGTTTTTAATTTAAATTAGATTCAAATCCAAATTTTAAGCAAAAGCAGAATGAAGTAAAACAGGTCTGACTTTAGTCTTGTGAAATCATGTCAGAAACCGCAGAAGCTCTGAAACGCAGTATCACACACACACACACACACACATGCTGCATATGCAAGTTTTTAATTTAAATTAGATTCAAATCCAAATTTTAAGCAAAAGCAGAATGAAGTAAAACAGGTCTGACTTTAGTCTTGTGAAATCATGTCAGAAACCGCAGAAGCTCTGAATGAGACGCAGTATCACTCTCTGACAGCAGGAGGCGCTCATGCAGCAGCAGACACAGCGTTTCCATGGTTACCGTGATATACAGTACTGTAATATACATTATGGAGAGATGAGATTAAAAGAAAATACCATCTAAACTTTCCTGCAGACGGTCAGTTCAAATGAACAACTATAACGCGATTCCAGCCGATTAAAGTGCCCCTATTATGCCATTTTTGAGGTTCCTAATATTTTTTGTGGGAGTCTCCTCCAATAGGTTAAACAACGCTTTCGTTTTCTCAAAATATGCTTTTAATATCACCTCATTTTCCAGCGATTCTCAAACGATTAGTTCGAAGCAGTTCAAAGATTCAGTCTCTCTAAGCTCTGCTCTGATTGGTCAGATGGCCCGGTCTGTTGTGATTGGTCTACGGCGTATACTTCCGCTGTTACTTTTGAACGCTCGATAGAAAATATAAACATCTATGATTTATCATACTTACAGGTAGTGATTCGGTGGAGTCAGCTGGTCCAAATAAACTGGGAGAGAGCTGTTTGTGAATCCTGCGTTGAACTCCCAGAGATTAGAGAAATGATGTGTTTGAGGGCGGGTCGGGTTCAGGGTTGCCAGGTTTCACAACAAAACCCACCCAATTGGATTCCAGGGGCTAAATATCACGTTATTGGTGTCGCTTCAACCCGCGGGAACAGTGTTAAAGTAGCCCGATTAGTGTTTCCAGTTAGTAATTCTAGAGCTTCAGCTTGTTTCAGTTCTAGTGTTCATCTCATGTTTGAGGATGCTGACCTGCTCTGACTCAGTGCTGATGTTGTCAGGGTGAGATCACCAGCAGCTCGTGGGAGGAAAACACGCAGGAGATCAACTTCGCTGATTTCAAGTTCTCCATCACACATCACTGTCTGAAGCAGGAGTCAGCTGAGAATGAAAGCAGGGAGGAAGCAGAGGAAGGTACGCGTGACCTTTGACCTGCTCGGCTGACCTTTGACCTCTTCTGCGTGTGTTTGCCGTTGAGCGGTGTCTTTGCTTTCAGATGTGTGTCCGCTGGCCCTGCAGGACCTGCTCTGCATGAACAATGACTTTCCTCCACGAGCTCACTGTCTCGTCAGATGGTAAGAAGACTGAGAACGTTCACGTCTGAGTGCAGCAGCAAATCAAAACTGAATTGTCTGTGTAGGGATGTGTGAAGCTGCATGTTGTCAGAGTGGGTCTTCAGAGAAGCCTGTGTAATTGCAGCGGTTCCAGGTTGATCTGATGCGTCTCTTGAAAGCGGAGCAGGTTTCTCAGCGCTGTCCGTTGGTCTCTGTCGCAGGTTCGGTGTGCGTGAGTTCGTGGTGATTTCTCCAGGAGCCAACTGTGAAGCTGTGGTCAGCGAGTCCAAGTGTAACCTGCTGCTGAGCTCCATGTCCATCGCTCTGGCCAACACGGGCTGGTGAGTGACCGACGCACTCACTCATCACTCACGC